CAGATGTAATGTCAGTTTGATATATGGTTGGAGTTACTCTCGAGAGATTGCTTGACACATCAAGACTGTTACGTACAAAATTATGCACGATGTGTTTGATATTATCCACTTTATCCTCATTTTTTTTAAAAAAAGAAAAAGAAAAAGAAATAACAAGAAAGCTAGTCCTTCTAAGATTTTGAGGGTATTTCTCTAACTTGATACTTTTTACACGGTCGTAAAAATTACGCCAAAATATAAATAAGTATACAAATGTACCACTTTTATAAAGCGTTACTCCAGGTTGGCATGGTGCTCAATTCGCCGAGACAAGATTCCTCTTGGAATGCACACAACAAACGCAAGTTTTGTTGACCCACTTGGCAGGACTGTTGTTTTCTGTTTCAATTTGCGTCTGTTCAATTTGATCCTTATTTTTTTTTAGTGCCGTAATATTCTCATGAATGATGCTTACAACATGAATCATGTAGACGAAATATTTTCGTTCTTTCAAAAGAAGAATTTAAAAAAAATAATAAAATAAAAAAAAAACTAGGGGAAAAAAGCAAACTCTCTTTTAATAAATTGCATTACAAATCCTGTAACGATTGCATGATGCATACAGGATTACAGAGTGTCGTGTATAACAGTGTACTTTCTAAAGCTTTCGGGTCTATCTATACTATAAGCTCCGAGACCTCCTAATTTTGCGAAACTGGTAACGCTTAGTTCCAGCGTTCTACCGGGCCGATGTTCATGATTTTTGCGGTTATCGACGGGCAATTGTCTCTAAATAAGCCAACTTTTTTCAGATTTTCAAAATATGGCCCAGGTTTTTTTATATTACGTGGTAAAGTTGCGAATTCTCCCATTTAAACAATGTAAATTTATACTTTTTGTCATAGTTCTTTTGAGCGTTCTACCGGGCCGATTTCCATGATTTTTGCGTAAATCGACAGTTAATAGGCCCTAGATGAGCCCGCTGTAATCAGATTTTGGAAAAAGGACCCAGGTTTTTTTAAAATCACGTTATAAAAGTGAGTGAGTTTATAGAATGCTCCGGTACTGCTACCGCTATGCGCGGGAGGATGCGCAGTGGTCGAGGAGGTTGCGCAGTAGCTGTGTAGCCTGCGCATCAGCTCTACACTTATCTACTCAAGATTCGCATCCAAACCCTCACGTCGAGCGGTGACTGAGTCGTCTAAGACGTCGAATGCGTCCACTTTGAATTCGGTGTAGGTTCGATCCCCGACTCATGAAACTTTTATTATTACCTGACTATCATTGTTCATTGTTTTACTGCAATATTTCATCAAGTAGTCATTCCAAAACGCGTCCTTTTAATTTTAAAGTAATTTTAAGTAAAGTTTAAAATTAAAGTATACCTCATATCGTAATTGTTTAGGGGAAAAATAAAACTAACACTGATAGGAGGGTAAAAATAGGGCCGCGAAGCGGCCCATTGATGGCGCGGAGCGCCTTCAGGGGGTTGGGCCGCGTAGCGGCCAGGGGGCGTAGCCCCCTAGTATTACATATTTTTCCTTACGCGAAGCGGTACTTTGCGATGCATTTTTGAGATGTTTTAAATAAAGCACAATTCCAGTGATGCCCAACGATTTCAAACTGCAATTTTTCCTGAGGGTATATTATAGGTATACCGTTGAGCAACTCCCCGCCCCCAAAGAATGTGAACCGGTAAGCTGTCTCAGCCAGTCGATTTTCAATATGAGAAGCTCTAGTTATACGTTGTGTCAACCGAATGTGGAAGGCAGAGAAATGTCCTTCCCACTCTCGTGTCATACCTTACCCGAAATGGCATTCGCCTGGCCGACGAAGTAAATTCTTTTGTCGTGAAAAGATTAGCTCAGTTTACGAATACGGCATTTTAAGCGGTTTTGGCGCGGTTCAGAGATTTTAACTCCTTCATATAGCACTTTCTCTCAGCTAACTTCTGCAGTTTCTTTCTTGAATGATGAACTTTTCATAGAATCTTTATTTTGTTGTGATAAAGCCCTGAACAGATTTCACGGTAAAACTATTTAGTTATCGCCGTTCCAGCGTTCTTCGTAGAAGACGACACAAAATTATCGAGCCTTTTCTACAAAAGTGCAATAAATGGTGCATGGGGAGATCTTTTTTTGGGGCGCGTAACAATATTATAAACTTTCTGAGAACTTTAAATTTAATGTTTTGTCACATAGTTCCTTCTACTGGGCCGAATTTCATGATTTTTGCGACTATGGACAGAAAATGACCCCTGGATGAGTTCGTTCTATTCAGATTTTGGAAATACAATCTAGGCCATTGTAGTTTACGTGATAAAGTCGTAACTTCTCCCATTTAAAAAATGTAAGCAATCATTTTCGTTCTGAAGATCTATCGGACCGATTTTTATGATTTTCGGACCATCGTTAGGTGATAATCCTTAGACGAGGTTTTGGAACTATGGCTCAGATCTTATTAGTTTACATAATAAAGTTGTGGATTCTCCCATTTAAACTGTGTAAGTGTTCATTTTTTGTCACAATTCGTTCTGAGGATTCATCGCACCAATTTTCGTGATTTTTGGACTATCGGTAGAGGATAGTCCCTGAATGAGCCCGCTCTACTTAAACCAACCAGAGAGGGCTCGTGGACAAGAGAAATGAAAAACATTAAAGATTGGAAATTCCCGTGAAATATTTCATAAGGTCTTGAAAAATATGAAACATATTTTCACTGGCTGAGTATGCAACACGTACTGAAAAACACCTGACAGCAAAAACCATGTGCATCTCTTGTAATTTTGTTGGAGAAAACTTTTTCCGGAATTTTATGAAATATTTCACCTGAAATGTCAAGATTTTATTTTCCATGCACCCATGTTCGCGGTGCGCCCTCTGGGGGTTGGGCCGTGTAGCGGATAAGGGCATGTCCCGTAGTTTCACACTGGTAAAAAAAGTAGCTTGGATCTAGAGTCCAGACTCTTGAAAACATTGACAAGAAAAAATACTCTTGATTAAAATGGAAATCCGCTTAAGTCAAGAGGCTCTTCGATTCAAGGTAAAATCCTATTGAATTAAGAGTATTTTTTCTTGTCAATGTTTTTAAGTTTCTGGACTCTTGATCCAAGCTACTTTTTTTTACCAAAGCACTGCATCCTCTCGAGAGCAGATACGGCTTGGTGTTGCCTTTGCCCCGTTTGGCAGCGGCGTAAGTAAACGGAGGGTGGCGTCGGGTCTGAGGTCTGCGCACATGTTCTTCATATGGTGGCCGCCTCTGCCGCCTCTTGGCTTGTGAATGGAGCGTACGGGCTGCGAGGGTCGCCGGCCGGCGCGCTTTGGAGTTTTGGCGGGACGGGTCCCGGTCCCGGGGTCGGCGTTCGGGGCGGGAGCGCGACTCCGAAATGTGTTTGTCAACGGAGCGCTCGCTGAGTGACTCTGATGAGGCCTTCGTTTTTCAACAGCTCTGCTCACACCGGCCGAGGTTTCTTTATGAACCCAGCCTGCCAAACCTAAGCAAACACGATGCTATTTCAAACCAGAACTCCTCTCCGCACGCGCTTCCGTCCGGTGTCCGTCTCCACTAGCCAATGAATTTACGAATCTTGTTAAAGATTCATTGATTTGCTGCTCAAGGAATTACATGGATGAAACAGTAATAAGCGAGAAACGCCACCTATAGTCTTATGAGTCTTCTCGTATGAAGAAAAGAAAAAAAGAAAAAAAAAAAAAAAAATAACTCCCGGAAAATTGAATTGATACAGCGTCAGACAAATAAATACCTTTCTTATCGGTTAAAAGATGTGCCAAGTTGCTTGATAAAATCAGTCGATGAAAAGTTATGGCGCATGAGAAACGCCTCCAAATGGAAAGATACTTCCTAGCGTGACAACGGAGGCCGAATAGTTGCATCATAGAAAAACCCAAGTGGCTGTGTTTCTGCCCGCAGATTACCGAGTAATACGGTTGCATGAGCTGACTATTTGATGACAAGTGATGACGCATAAGAAACGCCTTCACATGAAAAGATACTTCCTAGCGTGGCCTCGGAGGTCGAATAGTTGTATCATTTAGAAACCCCACCAACAGTGAAGCAGCACGTAGATTACCGAGTAATGCGGTTGCTTGAGCTGACTATTTGATGAAAAGTGACGACGCATAAGAAACGCCTTCATGTGAAGGCGTTTCTTTGTTTAGTATCTTTTTATGTGAAAAGATACTTCCTAGCGTGACCGGGGAGGCCGAATAGTTGTATCATTTAGGAACCAAACCAACAGTGTAGCAGCACGTAGATTAGCACGTAATGCATTTGCTTGAAGTGAAATTCGATGAAAAGTGACGACGCATAAGAAACGCCTTCACGTGAAATGATACTTCCTAGTGCGGCCGCGGAGGCCGAATAGTTGCATCCTTCAAAAGCCCAACCAACATTGTAGCTGTCGTAGATGACCGAGTAATGCGGCTGCTTGAGATGACTGTTAGATGATAAGTGACTACGCTTAGGAAACGCCTTCACGTGAAAAGATACTTCCTAGCGTGGTCTCGGAGGGCGAATAGTTGCATCATTTAAAAACTCAATTAACAGTTTAGCAGCACATAAATTTGCGAGTAGGTAATTCGGTTGCTAGAGATATTTGTGTAAATATCTAGGTGAATAGATGGTCACAGAATGTAAAAATATGTCAAGCCCTGCACATTCATGCGTAAAAATTCTGCCTCAGGAGAGTTTCTCGAAAACTGTTGTGATTTTCGCTACGGTAAGAGAAATGATTGGAAAGGAGAGGGGACGTGAGGGGCTCGTATTAGAATTCCATTCCACGCTTTTTTACGTCTTAAGTTTTTTTATGAATAATCCTCTGGAGTATATGCTTGTGAAGTGAACGTTTCATATCATATTTTTGGTTACAGAACCTGTGTTTTACCTTAATATTTTAAACGGTATGTCCTTGTTCTTCATTAGTTTTCAATTTGTATGGGAATCGGACTTTCTCTTTTCAGACGATTGAACTTTTTTTTATTTTTTTTTCTCATTATTTTCAGGTTTTGGTGGGCGCAATTCTCTCCAAAATGATGACTTTGTCCAGGCAGCTCAAAAGAAGGTGGACGCAGCTGTCTCGTAAATTAGGTATGTATCATACATATACTTTTTTTTTCTAATCATGCTTAATTTTGCGTTTTCATCTTTAACACCTGTTTTTTTACAAAGCAACCGTGAAGCAAAAATCAATTCTGCCTCATGTAAGATCATGTCCTGGAATTCTGAGAAAACGGAGAACTGAATTCCCAGGCCTTGCTAATTTTCTTCCGCTCGAAGTCAATATCACTTACTGTCAGTTCTTCTTTTTGCCCAATTGATTAAGCAACTGAAAATTCAGTGAATCCAGTGTACGAGAATTATTATAGTGGTCATCCAATATCTAAAGCTGGCGTAGGAGATAAAAAGGCTGTATTGGAAGACGCATCGTAGGCTGAAGAACTGTTTCCATAAAAAACAGCCATCACGAATTTCAATCCCACTAATGTTCTACTTCGATATGCGAGAAATTCGGCACCAGAGATCACAAAAAAAAAAGATAAAAAAATCCTTAGTGCATATACATAAATTAGACTGAGCCCGGAAAATGGATTTGCCTCCGGTAAAAGCTAAGATCCGATTGCGCGAACGAAAATACCATATACTGCATTTAGAAGTGCCCGATTTCTTCAATTTGCAACTCAGCCTGTCAAACGAAAAGTCAAGCCGTGAGGTCACCAACGCAGAACCGCGGATTACATTCGCCACGCCTCTCCTTTGCGTTTGTTTTCTGTAGCGCAAATTCCATAAATAATCTTGTAGTTTTTGGGCAGAGCCACATTTTTCGGTCCAGGGCACCTCTCAAGAGGTTGAAGTTGACAGCGGCTTAGGCGTACTAGCAGCATTTTATTCCGCTCATTTTTGCCAGTTTATTCGTTTTCTCAGCTGAAAATTGATTATTTTGCGGGGTTTCGACGGTTGGTCATGAAAAACGCGCGCAAGAAACATTCATTCGCAACCAAGGAATCACACGATGTGTTTCCTCATCAAAAATAAAGGATTGCCGATTTGATCAGCTACCACTCGTGCTACCGTGGTTTGGCACTTTGGCCATTCAACTTTCGATGTTTCTGAACGAATTTGCGGATAATTTTTGCGGGTTGCCTACGCCACCCCAGAAATCTCATTGAAATTTTACGAAACAGGGAATTTCACTATTCAGCAATATATAAAAAGTGTGATTCTTTTTGCACCTCTGTCGGCAACAAAGTATCGTATGCACTCGGCGTGGTTCCCGGGCGGAGCTATAAATAAAAATTATTTATCACCAGAACCAGATGAATACATGGAAACGAAAACACGGGAGGCTGGGGCTCCTTTACAGTGGACCAAATCATTTCCGGTCCTGCCCCTGCACCCCTCGCCCCCTCGCGGGCCCCGGGGGTAGGAGATCCCGCCGCGAGGCGCGAGGGTCAAAGAGCAGACCCAGCCGGCATCAGGGCGCACCCACCCCATCCCCTCGGAGTCCCGTCTCCTTTGCCGAATCGAACGATCTCACTGTTTGATTTTCTTGCGCGCCGTTCTTCGTTTGTTTGTTTGTTTAGGGCCCGTGCTCAAGGTTCCTGATAATGCGATGATACGCGTGACGATGGCCCTTGTCCTCACTAAACTATTTTCGCAGGAAAGTGTCGCGGTTGATGTCGGATTTGACCGCAAATCAACTATTTACGGCCTCCTGAGGTGTAGTGCTTTTAGCGTTGGCCCTATGACCAACACTGCCGTGCTAAGGAAGAACGCCGTATGAACATTTGAAAGTTGCCAAATTTCCCTGAATAAAACATGTATTTTTTAGGGAAGTTGTGCATATTTCTCCTTGAAATTTTCAGATATTTTTGATCAAATCGTGAACAAAATTAACTCAAAAATTTGAGGAAAAATATCCGCAAGTTTTCAGCAAATTCGGTTTTTCTTGAAGGAAATATGGCAACGTCTGAAGGCGCATGCGGCGTTCTTCCTTAGCACGGCAGTATGACCAATAGATTCCCGGCCAGGTGAGCTGAGTTTGGTGGTCTCAGGTAAATGGTCCTCTGGAGCTGGGATATTAAGCGTGGGATTAGCTTTATGAGCTGCACCTACTTAATATCGGTAAAAGAGAGAGAGAAAAAAAAACAGATTTTAAGTTTTTGAGAAGTTATGATAAATCATTATTTTATGTTGGTTTTCTGCCGGTTTAATGACCCTTACTCTGTTTTCGAACTTATGGGTCATCTTACTGTCGTCCGCAGAAAGGTGGTTGTTACTCTGTTCTAGTTTTTGAATCTCCTTCCCCCTCCCGGGGGCAACAATGCACTGTTACAAGGAGACCTTTTGACACTTACGATCTACATCCTCATTATTACTTCTCAGTGTTATATCACAGTTATTTTGCAAATGAGAAGGATGAATGTATAAAGCTTTTCTTGTATAGTAGAACATTTTTTTCTGAGAAAAATCAGCACTTAGTCTCACAAAATTTCAGCTCAAAGGGTAAAAAGTCAGCCCTCTATATTGAAGTATATGAAGTTGTTTTTTTAGTAAAATGAGAAAAAAATGTGCTGGAATAAGAAACAAAAAGCATACACCTTTTTCTTCGCTACAAAATCAGGCTTTCGCTGAAATTTCAGCACATACAGGAGCTCTGTGGCAGTGGCGTGTCGTGAATTGCGATGTATCGATTGTTATGTCATTTAAACCCATGGTAAAGAATCGATTATTGAGGTGTTCGCTGCAAACACTCTGTTAATCGGTTCTTTTTCCACAGGGTTAAATGGCATAACAATCGATATATCGCGAAGCACGCCACGCCACCTCCGCTCGTCGAAATTTGAAGAGCTTCCAGACGGGTCCCCTTTTTCGTGGAGTCGGCGTCGCGTCGCGCCGTGCGATCCGACTACGTTGAGTCCATAGTTCCGCTCCTTTTTTTGAGTTTCTGTTTACAGTATCGTTCTCCTATAATGTTTATCGTCTCATTGTTTTCGTCGCGTCGTCGGGACATGGGCCATGGGGCCCTCCCTCTCCCCTGTTGCCCGCCCTCGCGCCCCCTCGCGCCTCCCCCTCCCCCTCGCATCCCCCCTTCCCCCCGCATCGGCGTGCCAAGGCATTTACCAAGACGGAAATTGGTTCTTCCCGTTTGCCGGGGTTTCGGATACAAAGACCCTTGAATGTGGATTCGGGATGGAATGCGAATTGCCGGCATCGAGTTGACCGTCGCACAGTGGAGCAAGCCATTGGAAGGGATCGGTCCTGAAAGTTTGGACGAAGAAGGTTGATTTTTTAGTTTATCTCGTCAAATTTTCAAGTCCGAGGGGTGTATCACCAAGAGAAGTGTACGATGAAACCAATGCAACCACTTTTAAAACCGCAGTGCTTTGTTATGAACCGACTTATACAAGCTCTTAAAGGTTCCAAATGTTTCTTCCATTTACTCGTTCCATTGTGCCTTGTGGTCCAAGTCAAGGGGCTACCACTGATTGGTGCATCTTTTAGGGGAAAATACGAAAAAGAAAAAAAAACTGTTCCTCTGTATTTTGAGAAATGATGCATCATGCCTAAGTAAATTTTCTCAGGCCCCATATTATCACCTCTTTTTACAGATTCAACTGTGGGCTAAATTTCACAGATACTTCGATGAAGTACAAATGGATATCATTTTGCAATAAGGAACCTCAATCTCTGGTTCCCCCATAAAAGCACCTCTCTGCATGGAAACCGATGATTCCTATGTTGTTTCTAAGGTGAGCCAGAAATAGTGGTTCCTTAATGCGAAATGTGGTCCAAATCAGGTTTCAACCCCTTCTCCGTACTCCGTATGGAGAAAAGGAGAACTGTGGGAGTTGCGACCCTCTGAAAATCGCCGGGAACATCGGTTTTTAAGGGAGGGGGGGGTGTCAGACCTTCACACCTTCGCGTCCAACGTTAGTTGTTCCCTTCCCATCCGATTTTTGGCACCAATCATTTCCAAATTCTCACAATCGCGTGAGAACCTAATGCGTGAGTATAATCATCCCTGACCTCTAATCTATAAGCACCGCGATATCATACAATTATCGCTCAACAATGTTAATGAGCTGGTCAGTCAGGTGAGTATTAGCGCTATTTTACACGTTCTAAAATCACGAGCACTCTCCCTCCTCGTATCCGTGATAGACGTAAGTAAACGCTTTGTTTGGAAAGAAATACCAAAATGCGGTCACTGACGTCGCGAGCCGCTCCATTTTCCCAGGAATTATTGATATCATCCGTCGTCGACTCGTCGTGAAAGCGCGGAGCGATGACAAGGCCCGTCATCGCATTTTCTCCTTCGCGTGGGCGTGTTCTAGTTTTTTTTTCGCGCCACCTCACTTGCACCGCATTTCCGGGCTTGTCATCAATCCCGGATCGAATTTTCTTTGTGCTTGTGTTAATTCAAAGTTACAAGTTTAAATACATTTTGTGTTGCAGTATGTTGCAATGATATCGTCGGACAATAATGTGAGTCGGTGCAAAAAAGCTGGAATTAATATAATTTTTTCTCCAATATGACGAAGCTCGTGCTCGACCGTTGAAGTCATACATACCCAGGTTCTAATGGTATTCAGACCATGAGTTCAAAGACTCCCGAATATTTTTTTTTCTTTTTTTTAATCAAGCGTTCCCCTAAATTTTCTAAGTTGGAAATCTATGAGAGTCGGCAGAGAGGTAATGCGGATATTGGCTGTCCACAACTTATACGCAACGCGATTTCTCCGATTTTTTACTCTTACCCACCCCTTGTACTGAATGCGATCGCAACGCTGACTCCAGACAACTTCGGAATAGTTACATTGAAATATGCCTTGACGCCTCACGCTTACTCGAAATAATCACTACAAAATACAATTGTCGCCTCTTTCAATTCTCGGTGTAGGCAATAAGACGTTTTACAAGGTCGAATAATTCACACACAAAACATGTGTATTTACCAAACATGGAGCAGTAATTCTAACGCATAAGAAGTTCGCCTTAAATTTTCAGGGTAGGCAAAACGACCCCTCACGTGGTCGAATAGTGGTATCACCGAAAGAGCCACGCTTAATCATAACACACATGAAATA